TTATTAAAAAATATGAGTTAGGAGTATAATTAAATTCTAGAAACTCATTCTATAATGTGAGGATTGTTCCTTACTTTACTTTTTATTTTGATCATATTACTTATTGATGACATACTATCTTATGTTGAGTGTAAAGCTTACAAATGATTCCATAGCAATTAGATAGTAAGATGTGTGATTTAAAAATTAACTCAATTCTACAAAATGAACTTGTAAGATGAGAATTATCCTTATTTATATGTTTTATTTTGGTATTATATCTAATCAATATAAAATTTCAGTTCCTCACATACAATACTATTTTGCCTTGGTGCATGTATAATAGTAGGTGACACTATTAATGAATCTAGGATAGTCTCATGAGATTTAAAAAAAAAATTAATATACTCTCTCATGTTCAACACTACTTGATTTATTGCTTATATAAATGATGAGTGGCCATTTTAATAGATTTATGATAACTAATTATTGTAAAATTTACCATAAATTTTTTACAAAATTGTTTTCATGTGAATGGAAATATATCTTTTCCAAAAAAAATTTTTTACTGAATTAAAAATATCACATTTTTATTGTGTTGTATTAGTTAATTATGTGTTTGATTTTTATTTTTAAGATTAAAAATTGATAATTATAACAATTAAAATATTTATAACTTAATTCAAATTGATATATATTCATAAAATTATATTATACATTAATTTAAATTTATATAATAAAATATTATATAATTTTTAAATTTTATAAAAAAATTATAAATTCAGTCTATGTATTAAGAATCAAATTATTAAAAATTAAAGTAAATTGTAAGTCAATGAATGCACTAAGTCTTCTAGGAGTTAATTTCGAGTAAATGAAGCTCTGACCCGACACATGTGCATTCAACACCCGCACTTGCCCGATTTACCCGAAACCCACATTTCAACATTCATACGCAACAATTGGCACCACCCTATCAACCCTTTGCTTTCATTACAAAACCTACGATCACTTAGATATAATTTTTTTTTTTATTTTTTTGCTTTTGGCCCCGGTAATATTTTTTTATTATTGTTCTATTTTTAACTTTTTATAACATTTTAAAAATATTTTCTATTGTCAATTCCTGTTAAAAAAAATTATGTAACATATTATATTTATTATATGAGTTAATTACCTATACACTGCCAGTGTAAAATTTTTTACACTGACAGTCAATCAGAGTCGTTAATAGTACTTTTTTATTTTAATTTAATTTAATGACGAGATGAAAAGACACTATTAACGGTTCTAATTGATTGTCAGTGTAAAGAAACTTTACACTGGCAATATATAAGTGATTAACTCTTATTATATTTCATTTCACCAGTCATATAAGTAAATTATTTTTAAATTTTTATAGACAAAATTCAAAAATACACTTCACTATTGTCACTTTATCATATTTTTCATGTATATTCTCTCCAAGAGTGGAACATAATGTCCTAATTGTCATTAGTGTTAGAGTTAAATCATTGATTTCATTTTTCCGATGAGATATCTTACTCATCATTAATACAATAATAACAATAGGTAGTAACAATTTTAACGGTCTTAAGCCAATTATTATTATTCTTCTTGATCTTGGAAGAGATGGCATTGATGGTAGGTCAATCATGAGGATGAAAATTTTACATGGAATAAAGTGTATTTTAAACTCCTTATTTTTTAAAAATTTATATTAATTTACTTAATATAACAATAATAAAATAGAATATAATAAATATTTATCATGTAAAACTTTTTTTAACAAAATTTGATAATAAAGACTATTTATAAAAAGTTATAATGAAACATCTACAAAAATTATGGGATGAAAAATAAAAATCAATACTCCCTCCGTTTTTTTTCATAGTCGTTTTGTTAGAGTTTGTTGTTTTTTTTTCATTGTCATATTACTAAAATTAATGAGTTATTAATTTTTTTCTTCCATTTTTACCCTTGATAATTAATACATGTTTCCTGAAAAATATGTGTATGTATTTTTAATATCTACCTAATTTTTCTCTAACTACTCATATAAAGTTAATGTGCATTTATAAGAACAATATGTTCCCAACAAAATACTATAAAAAAACAAAAAAAAAGGACAACTATTTAATGGAGTAGTTTAACAGTCTAAAAAATGCAAAAAAAAAAGAAGGGTAAAATAGGAAAGTAAGTAATAAATATTTTTGAAAACTAAAATATCAATGATTTCCTTAATTTCTGTGCAAAACCTTAAACGACTATGAAAAAAAAATGGAGGAAGTATATTGAAAAACTTTGTTTCTCTATCTTAGTCTCTCCTGAATTCTCTGCTTTCTAAATAGTCAGTGACTGTCCTTATTCTTATTTTTTCCCACTGAAGTTGGTTTTTTCACTCTATGCATTCAACAATTTCATGTTCTGGAGTCCCCTATTCTCCCTGCATTTCCAGAAGAGCATATAATGGAGTGAAAGGTTAGCTTCCCAAAGAGTGTATGATCAATAGTTACATCGGCGTGGCAGTGGTGGATGTGCAGATCAAGTTGTAATGTGGGTTTTGTAATGATTGTTGGAAGACTTAAATATAAATTCCTTACCTATAATTTTTAAAATTGTAAAACTACAATAATACCCCTAAATGATTTGGATAAAATAAAAGGTGATATGAATTTTTGGTCATAAATTCTAATAAAGACTACTAACATACTCCAACTACAATAATAGTGTATGTTAATGTTCTTTGTATATATGTGTGTTTATTTTCATTTCAATTAATTTGGATAATTATGACACATAATTTTTAAGAAATAAAATTAATTTTTTTTAACAAAAAAAGTTATTTTTAAATTAAGGTAAATACCTCATTTTAAGGAGAAAATGTGAAATGTATAATATAAAAATTTTAGGAGACTAATTTATCTTATCTTGATATAAAGAATTTATCTTTTTCTTACCATTTCATAGTGTTAGATGTGATAGAGGAAATGTTTTGTTAATGTGAACTAGATAATGCAAGTAGATTGTTATTAAATACTCATAAAAGAAAAAAAAATCCATTTGAAGAGGAATATGCTATGGAAAAAAAAAAGACTCACACTTGAAAAAAAAATATTAAAGTTAAAGTGGAGATAAGAGAATTTCACATCAGATAAAATTAGATATGTTAAGTAATATATAAATAAGAAAAATTTATTAATTTGATATCTTAAAATTTTGAAGTAAGATGTGATGTTAACTTAGCTTATATCATTTATTTATTATATATTGATGAAGTGCCGCTCTTGTTTAAACCTCCAATACATAGGTATTTAATTTGTCGAAATAAGATAACTACAGAAGAGACAAAACAACAATTCTAGTTTGTGTTGAGCCAGGATGCTTAACTATACACAATGTGGTGGAGACACAAAACCAGGGAATAAAAGAGGAAGAACATGTTCAACATTTTATTTTACACATGCTTAATTCAGCATATCAGAACTTCAAAGATTTATTTTCAAAATGAAAAGGGTAGAAGCATACTATCAATGTGATGGAATGAAAACGTTCAAAGATATATACCAAAATGTATATGTGGAACTTGAGAACCACATATATATAGTAGGAGTTAATATTTCATGTACATGATGGATCAGAAACAAATAAATGGTAACACTGTTCTGACATAGACCCCTTCCCAAAACCTTACATAAGGATCTAATATCTAATGGCCATTAAAAAAAATTTAGGAGAGTTATCCATGTGTCTTGAATTCCCCTAAAACATAGATATATATGGGCATATAATTAGCTTTTTATCAAAAGAAAAAATCATATGCACTAATTTTCTTTTACCATCTATTCATTACTATTGAGTTTTAAATATTAATTTTTTCATATGTTAGAAATAAAAAAAAAAGTAATATGAAATACAATTGAAACTAAACGCTAAAATGTGTTTAGGAGTCAAATATACTCAAAAACTTATTTTTATTTGGTTTTTATTCTCTCTATTGCTATTCTTTTTTTATTAAAATCATTCACACTCTTTAAATGTATTCCGCAAATCACCCACTATTATTTTTTAAAAAAAATATAGAGAGGAATGCAGTGTTTTTTTTCCACAATCTAATTAAAACTATAAAAATGTAACGAATTATTTATAAGTTTTAATATAATATATTGAATTTCTAGAGTAGCACCATTGTAGTTAGTTCAAATAGCAACCAACCATGCAAATAAAAAGTTGAGTAACAATCTTCATCGGAAACAACAATCTTATTGTCTACTCTATTATTTGTATGACGGATATGTTCAAAAGTCTTAATACTAATACCTCTCCAATGCCTAAATAATTCATGTATTATTTTTTTTTATCAATAAAAAGAGTTTGATAAATAAACTTATATATCACACAAAACAATTGATAGAATCATAATGTATTCGTTAACTTAGCCTTGTCGGGGAAAAGCATCCCCAAATAATAGAGAGGCTTGTCAAAGGTGACGAAGAGTCATTAACAAATTTTGAAAAAATGTCATACCAACATTTGAAATGGGGTACTTCAAAGGGGCATACAACATTTGAAAAATGCCATACAACAACATCACAGCATGTTCTAATTTCTAAAGCGATGATGGTGATTGGTGGCTACTACTATCACACACAACGTGTTCAAACGTAAAAATATATTAAAGCGCTTATTATAATATATATTCAAACTTAAATAACTTTTTGAATTTTAATCACTTATAACATAATAACATAAACTGTTGTGTAATAAAAACTCATAAAAAAAATTATTAAGTTGCTTTCTCAAACAGAAAAGAGACTTAGAAAATGTCTCTTACATGATTCAAACTTATGTTTTAAAGTGAGGAGAACAAGGCGATCTCACATCGCAATGGAAAGAAAAATCAGGTTACATGGGTCTCACAATGGCCGCAAGAACGTAAAATGTAGGTATATAATTGAAAGGCCTTTTTTATTTTTGGAATGGAGATATCAAGGGATTTACAATACACCAACCACGCTAAGTTGCTAAATAAACACTCTTAATTAAGAAAGGCCAGTTTGTATCAATAATATAATGGAATTTCAGTAAGATTGGTAGAAGAAAAAAATTACTAAACGGAACTTTGGAATCGTGTAACTCCGTTTACCCAGGCAAAAAGGCTAGAAAACAATTTAATACAGAAAGAGCAGCTAGCTAGGTAACTATTTTCTCTATTTTGGTTTTTTCCTTTCTTTCAAGGCAAAATTCACAAAGGATGAGCTGTATCGCTCTTCGGAAAGACCCAAACCGATTTCTACTATCAAACAGTATTAACTATAGTCGCAAGCCCAACACACTTTGATCGCCCAACTCTTCGGAGGTATGGAAACGGAAATTTCAACCCGAAATATTTCAAGACATGCTTTCCACAAGTGTCAAGTCTAGTCTTTCTTTTGTCACTAACCATGTTAATCTCACAAGTACTTCAATACCTACAAATTTAATATGAGCAAGAGTGCATGGTCTGCCACTTCTTCAACTGCACGCAACCAGGGGGGTGGATCTAGTCTTCTAGATAAGTTGAACACAAGTACGTAGGGATTAAATAACAACACAGAATTCATCAGACTAAAACAAGTTTTGAGGTTGAGGGGGGGCCAACGCCCACCGTAAAATTAACGATGCCGCACCCCTGCATGCATGCATGCAACTAAAAAACTTCTAGCGTTCCTCGGCAGTAATCTGTTTGATAATTAGCTAGATATCCAGGTCCACAAACTAACGAGTAAAATCATACCACTGCAACTGTACATCAAACTTGGAACTCTACCTCCAAAAATTAGGCAAAGAATGAATAACAGAAGATAAATCATAAACCAAATGGCCTAAAGATAAAACCTACCCATCTAAGCAAAGGTGCATTGACAAATTCCTTAATTTTCACAATTAAACTGTTGGACGAACAGACTTTCACTTACACAAAAACTATCAGCAACATCGACAATTAATGACATCCAAGCATGTATATGGCCTTGACTTTTCCTCTATCTCTTGAGAGGTAGGCAGTGGTTCTAAACTGTATATGCTGCTCCTGGCACAGCAGAAGTTGTATAAATTTCCACAAATTCCTTTGCTGAATGGATGCACTCTTTCTGGAATTGACCTGCAGGTTAATAAAATTGTC